CTTGTTCTAGGAGACCCTTAAAAGCTACTCCACATTCAAATGCAAATATTTAATAACCGAAGCTTAAGGATCATATGATTCTTTAGACAGTAAATCTGGTGGTTCAGAGTTGTACACATATTTGGCAGATTATAGGTTTATCACTGACAGCTAATCTTTTAGAGAACTGTGGCTTAATTCCTTTTGTTAACTAATTAAAAAAAGAGAAAGAAGTTAAAGCTGTAATTAGACCTATTAAAATATATATTACTCACTCAACGGCTTATACAACTAGGATAAATGTATAATTAGGAGGTTTGTCCAAACATGATTAAAGCTAGTCACGTGTCCTAGGCCATCAAACATTTATGTGTGCATGAGATTGAGAGTAAAGTCAGTACGAAAATGTGAATATAAACCATGTCATATTTTGCAGAGAAAATACATGAACTATCTTTTGGCATATTATAAATATTTAACTCAAATCATGAAAGCTTTTTTCAGATGAAAATTCTGAAAGGACTGCGTCAGGCCTATAGCTTCCAGTGGGATAGTGTCGTTGGCAACAGTAATCAGACCAGGTCCATCTGTCCCCATGATCTATCGCCGCTGTTGCCTGCAGTTTGCTGATAGTTTAAGAAATTTAGAAATTAGTAGGTTGCGCATTCCTGTTAGTGGTCGGTGCATTCCCTGAGGCATAAGGATTTGTATCCCTTCAAAAACTCATATCTGTTTTGGGGAATTGCGTTTCGTTTTTGTTCGGGCTTGTTAGTCTTCAAATTACAAAGTAGTAAAGTCTTCAGCTTTAGAACTAAGGCGTATTTTTCCTTCCATGGACTCAGGAGATGGGAAGGAGAGAGCAGGTCCATTGACCTTTTCTACCTCACGTAGGCCTGTACGAGTGCTTTCTCTGTGCGCTACTTTTTGGTGATGGCATCTCTTGAAGGGAAATTCCCAGGAAGACTGTGGCAGTTCTGGGTCTCTGTCAGCCACCATTCTTTCCGTATGTTGATGGTTTGTTGTATGCTGGAATCTTCCCTGGCTTGTGTCTCATCAGCCCCTTTGTGGCACATGCAAGTTGGAGAAAGGGACTCAGAGCACCTTTGTATCCTAAATTGCCCCCAGAGCTCATAGCAGTCGCACTGTATGGTTCAGGTCTTCCTATGATAACCCCTCTCCAGCTGTCCACATCCAGGCTGGTGCCCAGGAGCAATACTGCAGCGTGGATCTGACCGCGACAGTCTCTGGAGCACTTCAGGCTGAAGCACAGGCAGGGAGGGGGATTTCTGCCATACAGCGGTTGAAGAAAACCATTGCATCTCTACAAACCAGGAGCTGTTGGCAGCTCTCATCGAGCTGCAGACATCTCTGACATGACTGCTAACCAAAATTAAAGACATAAATAAATTGTTTGCTGTAATAGCTCTTTGTTTCAAAACACTTGAGTTGCAAGCACGGACCCAGAGAAAAGACACTGAAGTATTGAGGTTGCTGGGCTTAACCTATGGAAAAGAAATAAGCTCAGGTGCTGAAGGCTGACTCAGATATTTTCAATTTTCCTGCCAGAGCGAGAACTATTTGCACAGATGAACAAATTACAGTAGAGTGCCAGTGTAACGTAGAAAGGAATAAGCTTCTTTAATATATATCAATTTCTGCATGGGGAACAGTGAAATTCAGTTAAAAGTCTTAGCTGCCTGTAGTGCTTTTAAGCACAGATAATGTAGAGAAGAATTTGGCTGGTGTCAGCCCTTTTTGTCTCGCTAAACTGCTGAGAATCCCGGGGTAGGACCGAGGGGAAAAAGCGCTTGGGGGAAAATCTGGTGCAGAGGAAATGGTAGAAGTGTCCTGCTACAGCTGCGGAGGAGACCGGCGCTTCCTCTGCCTGGGTAATAGCTGGCTTTCCCGTTTGTTTATGTTGGTTGTCATGTTCACGTACACTCAGAGAGGGAGAGAGATGTGCATATGGGTGTATGTGTCTATAAATGCACACACACAAAATAGCAGTTTTCTATATTGCATACATAGTAGTTTTGGGACCAGTCTCTAAGTGGTTCATGGTATGTCTGTGGTCCAAATGAGTTGCAGCATAAGAATTTTGGAGTTGTTTTGTTGTTTGTATTTTTTTCTTCTTATATGAAAAATGAAAGATTAGGCTTGTCTTGGAAAGGAGCACTTTTTGTTTTGGGATCTGTCCGTCTTCAGAGATGTCAAAAACATAAGTTTTGACTGACTGATCGGAGATGGAAGGTTGGGGGTTCTAGCTTACTGTAACAAATTACCGTGTAATTCTGTTGTATAGGTTCCAATAGGATGCGTGCTAGCCAAAGATCCAGAAGAGATCTTTCAGCAGG